AAGAGGGAAGAAAGGACAAGAGGCTCTCTCTTCCATTTGCTCAGCAAGCAGTCTTCATTAAAATTGTATGCCTGTGTGGGATGGAGTCAGGGCTGATGGAATTTGTTAGAGGTGGGGTGGGATGTGTCTCATTTCACTGACCCAGGACATATAAAAATAACTCAGCTTTGGGATGGCTACAACAAGAATTGACCAAGGAAAACTAACCGATGACTGGCGGACTTCAGATACTCACATAGCAGGGAAACTTCACGTGAGGATTTCCTTACAGTAGGTATTTTCTTTCCAACCTTTATGACTGTATACATGTTATACAAAATGCCTTAAGACCAGCTGTTTAATTTGGACAAGTACAACTTGTTTTTGCAAAAGGTTGGAAAGGCACTTCCCCCACCCCCACACCTGAGTCATTTTACCTGCATACTAATATGATTATACAATGGTAGAAATCTTTTAACTATCAAAACCAAATGAACAATGGAGTTTTTAAAAGTCAGTGATGACGCTGACATAATTTTCAGTTGACTGTATTCATGCTGTCATGTTTCTTATAATAACAAATGCTGACACTTATCCTAAAATGAAAAGTGCCATTTCAGAGGAATTTGCAAAAGTACTGTGGGATCTTATATTTTGAAATAAATGACTTGGGGCATTTCAGAGACTGAGACTTTGAGAAGCAACCTTTCCCTCCTGTGTAAAATCGGCTCCACTTAAACAATTCTGTGTAAGAGTTTAAATTCAGTCATGTACAAGATGATCAAATTAAGACCAGGGGGTCCAGCAAGTGGCATGGTGGTTAGAGTGCTGGACTTGCACATGGATGACCACGGTTCTGAATTTTCCCCCCCCCCCCCCCCCCCGGCTCTCTGATTAAACTAGCAAACAAAAAAGAATTAAAATAAGTAATCCTTAAAAACAATTTAGGACGGGAACCAGCAGTTAGCGTAATGGCTATGTCACTGGACTCCCACGTAGTCGACCGCGGTCCGTGTCCCGGACCCGGTGGCTTAAAACTCACGCCGGGCGCGTGTGCGTGTGTGCCCAAGATCCTGAGAGGAGAATGGAGGAGAAGGGATTGCGGCGTGACCATCCCCCCTTGGGGGTGATTTCTCGCTTTCTGTCTCTATGTCTCTGTCTGGCGAGCGCACGCGCCCTACAGTGAAAATCTCTCAAAAAAAAAACAATTTAGGACCAGAATCACTTTACTATTCATCAGTTGGTATCACCAAAGAGAACTGGTCAATTATTTGAAGCTGAACTCTAGCATCAGCTGAAATATTTGAAAACTGCCAATGTTGGGGGCTCATTTGTGCTTATTTGTTAACTATTTAAATTTAAAAAATATATTTATGCTCATAAAAGACAACTTTCAGAGAAGAGAATTAAATGAATACTAACACTTTCCTATTTTATCTTGTAAGAAAACAACTATTGCCCTTATGATTCTCTTGGGAACTTTTCTGGTTCACTATGCTATTCACTTCCAAATACTATACACCTAACCACAATTTTTAATTCAGGAGTTCATCTGAATTGCAAATTTTAGGATACTTTGGGTTTTTGTTTGGACTGTCATCATACTCCTAAAATGGGATCAAGAACTCAAAGGTTAAGAACCACTGACTGGGGCTAATAGGTGGTGTGTTGATTGAATGTGTTGGACTCCCACAAGGCTGACAATGGTTTGAGTCCTGGACCTGGTAACTTGCTTTCTCCCTCTCTCTCTGGTCAAATTTTTAAAATAACAAATGAAAATAAATATATATATTTTAAAAAGAACCACTGACTTAAGAGGAACTAAGTCACTGAATATTATAAATTTGGTGTACTAAAATGGCCATTTATATATTAAAATGTTAAGATTTTTAATCTAGCCCATATATGGAATGTAATCACAAATAAAACATTAAGAAACAGATGCAACAATATTTAGGAAAGGTGAAATAATTCCAGTAAGTACAAAAACTGCTAGTTACATTAAGCTCTATTAAGAGCTTAAGTTTGCTCATGTTCCAAGGAACGACCGAGATATCTTTCACAACTTGTTTTCCCAGTATTTTAGGAAGTCACTCTTCACATAAAACATGTCTACTATTGCACTAACTAGTACTATTTACATGTCGTAATTACCAAAATGTTTCTTTAAAGCAAACTTACATTAAAAATCATTAAGAAGTCAAATACAGCTTGTAATATATACCTCTATTTGAAATTACTTAATAATTTAAAATAATTTTCCATGTTAAGATAAATCTACTGGCTTTCATAACATAAGAAAACTTCCATGTTAAGATAAATCTACTGGCTTTCATTTCTTAAGAAAATTTTCTAATTTTTAAGTGCCTAACAGTGTAAACACTTTATCGTCAATTTAAAAGGCAACTGAATCTTCTCGTAGAATGTAAAGTGTAGCATTTTTATTGCAGAATCCCTTCATTTGATTTTTAAGTGGAACTTACAAATATAAAGCTCAGATGGCAACTCTTCCAGGTGTACTCATTTACTCCATTTAACACTTCTGCAAGTAAATTCTGAGTACCCATCAGTTGGCCAATCTTTGTTACTGATAAAACAAGGGTCAATGTGTGTGCCAGGAAGGTTACTCTGGTGCTAAAACACTCATGTTTAATCCTGGTACTGACAAAACTACCACTCTGGGCTTATTTTCTGTTCTAAAAGAAGTGGATGAATCACTTCTTAAAAATGTATTTTTTTTTTTTCTTTTGCCAGAGTACATGCCCTCACCAGAGGCAGGGACCTGAAAGTAGCTCCTAATAGGGTGTGGCCATGCCGAATCCCTTCACTCCATCTGACAGTATGGGCATCCACACACATATAACTCTGCCCGAGCTTTTTTTGCTATAGTGTGTGTGCACACTCGCCAGAAAGAGACAGAGACAGAAAGTGAGAAATCACCACCCTGATGGCCACACTGCAATCCCTTCTCCGTTCTCCTCGAGATCTTGGGCATCCATGCACACGCGCCCGGCGTTGAGTTTAAACCACTGGGTCCGGGACTCGAATCCTGGTCGACTACATGCAAGTCCAGTGACGTAGCCATTATGTCATCTGCTGGTCCAGTCATTTTTTTTTTTTTTAAGAGATTTTTTGCTATAGGGCATGTGCTCACTAGAGAGCCAAAAAGCGAGAAATCACAAGGAAATGGCCATGCCACAATTCCTTCCATGCTCCTCTAGGAATTTAGGGCAAGCATGGCAAGCATGTGCACACTGAATGAGTTTCAGACCACCAGGTCTGAGTCTCAAAACAGGTCGGAAATGTGGGAGTCCAGCAACATAACCGTTACACCATTTGCTGGTCCCAATGTCTGCATGTTTTTCAACCACTGTGGCTGGGATTTCAATCATATGGTTGTCCACGCAGGGCACAACTCCCTTAATCACAAGGTACAGGGCTGGTCCTGGATGTTGTATTTCCATCAAGTCCAAATTTTAACTGATACTAATGTAGTCCAAATGAAAAGTAGGCCAATAAGCATCTTTCATGTGTACAATTAATCAAAATAACTCTAATGACACGTATAATATCCAAAGACAGAGGAACTGCCATTATTGAGAATTCTAATTACTATCACAATATATTATTATCTAATTAATATCACAATTCCACTCTACTAGTTCTTTTACTAGCAGACTTACTTTTCATCTGGGCTTTAAGATATCCCTCTATACAAAGTACGACTCGATTGACATTTTATCAATTTTCACAATAAGAATATTCTAAAAAATGTTAACAAATGGGGGGGGGGAGTCAAAACCCAGGCTAAAGGATTTAATCCAGTATTTATTCCACTCATGATGGTTCTCTGTAATCAGAATACAAGTCATAAGAACAATCTATCAAATAATTTGCTGATAGTCTTAAATAATGCAGCATAGCATTACCTTTAATACCTCTGTTCTAGATTAAGTTTTAGAAACTCAAACAGCAATCTTTATTATCAATAAAAAAGTTTTAAATTTTAAAAAAAGGACACTATATCAAGCTGTTTCATAATTTAAGTATTTCCCATTTATAAAAATGCTTTGGAAGCTTGAGGCCTAAATCCTTCTCTACTCATCTGCCCCACCCTCTCCCAATTACACATTAGTACAGGGTTGCTGCAAGAATGCTAGGCTTTAGACATTAATTTTTTTCTTTAATATAGTATTTTAAAATCTGAGAAAGAACTCAAGAAAAAAGATTACATGTCATGTATTTTTTTCAAATAAAAAAGGAAAACTAAGTGAGTAATTTTTAGGCATACTAACAGTGTCCCTTTGAGGTAGAATGCTAAAAGGACTTTTGATCAAATCACAGCCTAATTTAAACCTCTGCATCAGAAACTAACTTCTCATAAATTCTCTCTAAAGGTAACTGGAGAATATTTAGTTTAACATATTAACAAGAGCCTTCCAAGATAATATACAGTGGACAAGAATGTTAATCCTACAGTTGCTGCCTTCATGTACATTGAAAGCACAGAATTCTCCTATAATAGACATCCAAGATCCATTCTCAAAGTCTTTAGCATTCTATTACGAAAAGCACAGCCATGCTAACTTCATTACACAAACCATAATCCCACACCTACAAAACAAAAATAGAATTAGTGGCAGTTTATTGCCTTATACAAATTTAACCAACATGGCAACCATGCCAAAGGAATTAAAACATTTTCAGGACGTATGTACAGACTGTACATTTCAAAAACAATTAAACAGTAAAAATGCAAGAACAATCTGTGCATCATGTATCAAACTCAACAACTGGGTGAAAAACATCAATGCAATAAATGGGATTACAAAGGCTTTTTTTCAAAAGAGGAATGAAAATGCAGCCTACAGGGAGCTTCGACGAGTGCGTAACTACTGCACAATCTCAACTGGGGTGAGGGGGAGAAAGAAAGCAGATTTAATCAAACATTTATTGGATTCAATGTGATCCACTTTTACAAAAAAAAAAAAAAAAAACAAAAACAAAAAAAAACAACCACTTCACACAGTCTCATCTTTGTTTTTGTGTTTTTCTTGGCTCTCTTGTTCTATACTTTGGCTCCTTCGACGATCGTGTTTGTCTGACTGGTCCTTGCTATCACCATGATCTCGTTTGTGGGAACGTTCTTTGCTTCCACTACGCTTCCTAGATTTTTCTTTGCTGGGGCTATGTTCCCGTTTTTTTGATTTTTCAACACTGTCAGTTCTTCCTTGACTGCCACTTCTACTGCGTTTATTTGATTTTTCTTTACTTTCATTTTTATGTTTACTTGATTTCTCTTTGCTCCTGCTTCTACTTCGTTTCCCTGCATTTCTACTTCTACTCCTACTTCTGTGTTTTCTTTCTCTGCTTCTACTTCTACTGTGTTTTTTCTCTTTCTTGGAATCTTTCTTGTCATCTCTATGCCGCCTATCATCTTTGTCTTCTTTATGTTTCTTCTCTTCCACTTCGCCCCTACTTCTCTGTTCCTTGGACCGTTCTCTTGATCGTTCTCTCTCCTTTTCTCGGTCATTACCTCTTTCCTTATCATAATCACGATCTCGTCTTCTACCTCTCTCATTTTCTTTCTCTCTTTCCCGATCCCTGTCCCTTCTATCCCCTTTCCTATCACGACTTCGACTACGACTTCTATTTTTTTTTTGCTATGCCTGCGTTCTAATCCCCGATCAATACTTCGAGATCTTCGCCTTTCTTTTTCCCTTTCTTTGGCTTCACGTTCTAGTCGCTGGCGTTCTTTTTCTCTCTCTAATTCTCTGTCAAAACTAGAAGACCCATGGCCCTCCCGATGATGACTTCTGCTTCTTGATCTTCTTGGGGACCTCCGTGGACTAAGTGATCTCCTTGGAGACCTAAAGAAGGGGAAGGAAAGTTTGATCAATAGAACATACTGTAAAAATTTCATCTTTTCTCTATGTAAAAAAAAAACTTTTATCAGTATTATTTATTCAGGCCTCCAACTTAAATACACATCAAGAATAAATACAGCAAAACAGGGGAACCAGCAGTTAGCATAATAGCTATGTCGCTGGATTACCACGTAGTTGACAGCAGTTCGCGTCCCAGACCCGGTGGCTTAGAACTCACACGGGGCGTGTGTGCGTGCATGCCCAAGATCCTGAGAGGAGAATGGAGAAGGGATTGTGGTGTGACCATCCCCCCTGGGGGGGGGACTTCTCGTGTCTTGTCTCTCTGTCTCTGTCTGTCTGGCGAGCGCACACGCCCTATAGCGAAAACCTCTCAAAAAAAAAAAAAGAGTAAATACAGCCAAACAAACAAAAAAACACTGACTGTTCTAATTTACAGATATACAATTTTGGGCATTTTTAAATGCCCTGAAAGGAAAACAAGGACCTTTTGGAAATCAAAGTGGCAAACTAATAAAATGAACAGTGTAAAGTGAATTTTCTAAGGACTTGCCATCACTTCCCAAGAACTGATTTTGTCTAAGACATATTTAAAACATAAGTATAATTCAGGAGCTGTATTACCTGGAACGTCTGCGTTCAACATGTCTGTCTATTTCCTCGGCACCTTCCTTTCCATCTTTCTTGATTTTTCTAGGTCGGGTTTTAATTTGTTGATCAATATTCTTTTGAACTGGAACTGGAATTCTTGGAAATAAGGTAGAAAACCACTCCAGTTTTGTGAGAAAAGACCGCAGCATTTCTCCAATGGTCATTACACAGCCTCCACCAGCCTTCACATCTAGGTCCTACAGAAACACAAAAGATACCCTAGCCGTCAAAAAAAACTATCTCAGCATACACATGAATACTATAAAAATATTACCATCTTTGGAATCTTAAGTTTAAAAAAATTCTAATAGAAAAATTCCAATTTTGTATCCTAATCTGGTAATGAATGAAACAGAGAAATATCTGGGCTTTGTGTGTGCATGCAGGTGAGAGCAAACCCTGCAGCCTCATGGGCATAAAGGGAACTGATCTCACTCAGTTAATAAGAATATAAAAAAGCCCCTTACATTACTAAACTATGTGGAACAAATCACTTACATTTACATTCCACACACCTATTCAGTATATACTTAATTTCTGTGGACACATTTGCACACATCATACCTAGTACTGTAACCTAGCTACATTAAGAACTACGTCAGACAATTTTCTGTCTAAAGGTTATCTTTTAACAGCTCTAATAGAAAATGAAGCCCTAATAAAATTGGAAGCAATAGCAAACCAACTGCCATGAAGCAGTGAGGTTTCTAATTTAGTTATGTAGAAAATAAATAAATGAACAAATAATTGGAAACGCATAATCCATGATGACCATTGTCTCTGAAAAGGGTCATTACCGCATGAAGGCCTTCTTGCTATGCCCTCTCACAGCTCAGGACATGTTAGTCAGCTATTGTCAGTCCCAAACCTATAGTGCAAGCACACAAGGAAAGTGAGATTTGTTATCTAAACAGGAAAACAAGAGCTAAAGGTAAAACTGCTTGCACTCACACACATTTAAGTGTTCAGATATACAGTATTTCCAAATATAATCGCTGCAGATATCTAAAGAAGAAAACAATAAGTTAGCTTAAGTAGAGGATCTCAGATTTGTAAACACAATTAAAAAAAAAAACACAGAAATAGAAGCATTCAGAAACAAACCTAATACTACACCAATTATGAGGAGGGACATGCTTTTTTAAAGATGGAAGAGAGTTCTTCTGTCTGGAAAAAATTCTCATCTAAAGAGAAAAGCACTTTAACAATTTTGATTATTACCTAAAATATTTTGCTTCTTCTAGTTATTAAAAGCTCATTAAATAGGTCAAAAAAAAGGGAAGAAAAAAATTTTAATTCTCTACATCTAAATGAATCATTGATATTTTACAGGTATACATGTAATAAAAAAAAATAACAGATTTTTATTAGAACCATCATTTAATCCAACAAATTATTTGGATGAACTTTAATAGCACTACTGAACTATAGCACTTAGTTTACTTTATGATGCTTGACCTAGTAGCTTGCTTTCTCATTTTCTCTGTGTCTCTCCCTAGTCAAATTAAATGAATGAATAAATAAAATTAAAAATAATTCTTTAAAAATAATACTATATAAAGTAATGGGGGGGGGTAGATATGTGGAGTACACAGCTCATTACTGAGTATATTTTGAGAACTTGGACTTCATTATATAAGCAAGCTAATACAAATATGATTTAAATCAGTTTCAGTAGTTTCCCAAAGCAAAATTTCCCGAAACATATGTAACATGCTTGGACACTAGATTTAGAATTTCTGAAAATCTATGCTACTAATTTAAATAGAAGATTTTTAGGTCATATATGAATATCTTAAAACAGGGTCTTGGGTCGCAATCCTCCTGCCTCAGCCTCCAGAATAATTAGGCCACGCCACGGTGCCTGACTTTTTAGGATGTGCCAGGAATCAAACCCCAGTTTCTCATACAACAGCATATTCTAGGGTGCGCTACCACAGTTGGGCCAGAAAAGGTCAGTGTACTACTAGTCAGAAAGCTACAGGGGTCAGCAGGTGGTGTGGTGGTTAAAGGTGCTGAATTCCCACATGGTCAACCTAGGTTCGCATCCCAAACCTGGTGGCTTGCTTTCCTCAATTTCCCTTTCTCTCTCTCTGATCAAATTAAAAACAATAACAAATGGAATTAAATAAATAATACTTAAAAAAAAAAAAAAGGCCAGAAAGTTAGAATAAAAATGATCTGTTCTGGGGGCCAGCAGGTGGTATAAGTGGTTAAGTCGTTGGACTCCCACGTGGCTAACCACAGTTCCAGTCCAGATTTGGTGGCTTAAAACTCACACTAGGTGTGGGTGCATGCGTGGTCAAATCCCGACAGGAGAATGGAGGAAGGATTTTGGCAAGGCCACATTTCTCGCTTTCAGTCTCTCTGGCTAGTGTACACACCCTACAGCAAAAATCTCTCTCTCAAAAAGATTTGTTCTATCACTTTGAACAGCACATCTGAACTCTCAGCCATTTGCCACACCCAGCTCTTTTATTCTGAACTTCCATGCACGTGGGACAGACACATGGAAAAGATGGTAAAGAACTGAAACAGCCTGGGCCAGTAGATGGTGTGGTTAAGGCACTGGACTCTCACACTGTTGACTGCAGTTTGAGTCCTGGACCTGGCATCTTACTTTCTCACTTTCCCTTTCTCTCTCTCTCCCTGGTCAAATTAAAATAACAATAAAAAATAAAGTTAAATAAATCTTAAAAACAAAAACAAAAAACTGAGACAGCTTAGGAAAAAAGTTCCAACTAATTTTATGCACATGTCTCTGTTCTTAATACTGAGCATGGCTCACCTTAAGAAGTCACTATCAGTACAACATATAAAACCTAACTAGGAGAAGAAAATTTTAATAAGTCACTAAAATGTATTTACATAATTTAAACCTCCCATAAATAGATATTTAAAAAATGAAGAGTAATCAGAAGAAAACTAATTATTACCCTTGTTGACATACCTCTTCATCATCAAGGAAGGATTCAAACCAGTCCCACAGATCTGTTGGGGGCTGTGTATACCTAGAATTACAAAACCTTATTAAGTTTAGGTGAATTAAAGTGAGATATTTACTGAAAATACAAATAAATGCATGCTCACCTTATATACATAAATCCAAGAGCTCTAATATATGGAGAATCTGTGTGCGTTATGAGACCCATCACTTGCTTGCGAGTTAATTTCAGAGTAAATAATTTGTACAACAGGCAAAAAGCTGTGGAAACAATTCCTCCTGTTCCAACACCTCGGACCTTTAGAGGAGATATGTAAGTAGTAAAATAATTAAGATACTTAATGCCAGTTGAGTCATCTTGTTAGCTATTAACAAGCCCAAATCCTGGGACCTGCAGTTGGCATAATGGCTATGTTGCTGGACTCCCATGTAGTTGACTGTGGTTTGAGTCTCAGACCCAGTGGCTGAAACTCACACCAGGTGCGTGAGCCCCAAGATCCCGAGAGGAGAATAGAGGAGAAGGGATTGTAGCATGGCCATCCCCCCTGGGAGGTGATTTCTAGTTTTCTGTCTCTCTGTGTCTTTCTGACGAAAGCACACACCTTATATAGCAAAAATCTCTCCCAAAACCCCCCACAAACAAACAAACAACAAAATCCAGAACTAAGAAAGAAGTGTTAAAAATAACAATTTTTCGGGGCTAGCAGGTGGTGTGGACTCCCACATGGCCAAATGCAGTATGAATCCCAGACCCAGCGGCTTGCTTGCTTGCTTACTTTCCCTTTCTCTCTCTCACTCTGTCCCTCTCTGGTCAAATTTAAATAAATAAATGGATTCAAAAAATTAAGATAAATAAAATAATTCTAAAAAAAAAAAAAAAACAACAACAACAACAATTTTTCTAATCTTGGACAATTGAATTTAGATCAAATAAAATCCCAAGATCTGACAACAAACTATAATTTGAGTATGTAACTAATATACCCTTAATTTTCTAATTTAGTTTATTAGACACGGAAAAACTAAAAAATTCACGTACTTCTACTTACCCCTCCGCACATCCCTGTCTGGCCTGCTGTTTTCCTGCTTCCCTTCTCCCATGGTTCAACATGTGTAACCTGAAAATAGAAGAGGAACACAACAGATACTCACATATTGGATTTTGAAAAATAAAGTCTGATTTAAGTAAATCCAAGTCTACAACAGAGCAGCTCTTCCCAAGTATTTTGGCATTGTTTGTATTTTATTTACTTACATGAAGTATGTGTATCTTTGAAAACTGCTTTCAGATTTATAGAGCACCAATAAAGCTACTAGGAATTAACAAAACCGTAACAGCTTTAGAGAGCAGAAATCCCATTAAACTAGCTTTATAAAAAGCTGCTCTCTATCTATGTGGGAGTCAAGAATTTCTAGTTTCATATACTTGTAGAAAATATTTAATATTTTAATTTTGCATATTATGAGTTACTTTAAAAATCTTCATTTTAAAATGAATGTAAGCCTTCACTTTAAAGCAAAAAAGTATTAATAGAGCTTAAGTATTAACTTCAAGAAAAAATTAATATCCTCAGTTCAATTGTATGGTGATTTAAACATCTACATTATAAAATAAAATTACTTTAAGAACACTGCTAAAATAACAAATTACTTCTGATGCAAAATTATGAAATTTTCCACTTGTACACTTTTTCACCAGATCATGTTCCTCCTTCATTAAAGATGAAATTTAAAGGCCAAACTTACAGAGATCATTCTTGTAATTACCAACATAATTATGTGTAACAATCCAATTTCCCCCCAGAATATAAATGGTGTCAAAAACTAAGTATGGGACCAGCAGATGGCATAATGGTTACGTTGCTGGAGTCCCACGTAGTCAAGCATGGTTCTAGTCCCAGACCCAGAGGCTTAAAATCATGTGCGTGCATGCCCCAAATCCCAAGACAACAGAGAAGGGGCTGCAGCGTAGCCATCTCTCTCCCCCTCCCTAGGGGGTGTGGTGGTAGTGATTTCTTGCTTTCTGTCTCTCTGTCTCTCTTATGAGCCCTATAGCAAAAAATCCACCCCCTCCAATACAACTGAGTATGAAAAGTCATTAGTATACATTAAGTATAGTAAAAAGTAATAGGGTATCATTTTTGCTAAATGAAGATCCTACATTTTACAGTCTTTCAGTGGCTTTAGACAGAAAACCATGCATTTAAATTTAAGCACTACTTTATTTTGCTCTGCCAGCAACTCCTGTTGTACTTTACAGCTGTTTCCTTCCTCCAGATCACTATGTAGAAATGTTTCAGTTCCTTAAAGGTTAAGTCAAAATAAGTGGAGGATGGGGGCTGGCAGGAGGCATGGTGGTTAAAGGTGCTGGACTTCCACATGGTCAATTGCGGTTTGAGTCCCAATACTGGTGGTTTGCTCTCTCTCCCCTCTGTCTCTCGGGTCAAAATTGAAAAATAATGATAATCAATAAATAATTCTTTACAAAAAATAAGTGGAGGACACAATACAAAAGCAAACCACAAAATTGGAATCCTAACACATTTCAATGATTATCTGATCCAAATTTAATAACAAAACTGGGACCTTTCCTTATGATAACTGAATTTAAAAATAATTCTTGGTAGAATCCTAAGTTCTTTCAAAACATATTTGAAACTTGCTTTTCAGTACTTTAACACTTGCCTTTTGCTATAAAACCGAATCTGCAACAAAAAAAGCAG